GTCTGTGGTAGGAACGGATTTCAGTGCGCCGAAGTGGATGTGGTGGAAACGAACATACACCTAAGGGAAGTCAAGAAGCTGCCGAGGGAGGGAATTATTTGGAGCTTACAGTTTACCAGCGTAGTGTTTGAACTATAAAGACGATCAGGCAGCCGTACGTCACTCAACTTTGAATAATGACATAGAGGAAGGGCACCAACCAATGTGAAGCAGTGGTTAACGATTATGTTCTGCAGGGCACTCCCGGGGACGTTGACTGTGTTGACCCAGCTAGGAAGATCGTTTACCGAAATACAACTGGCACTGCGGACGAGCTGCCCATTTTTCCGGGCCCTGGCGACCATCGCGTCCCCCTACCAGTCCCAATCAGCGATGGCCGGAATCGGATGCGGAGGTCAAAGGGGACCGCACAGCTTCAAAAGTGAAGAATCCTTAACATAAGTACTCGTCAGAGCCCGCGGTGTTCGCACTGAGTACTGATGGATGTAGCTACCTTGGACAGGTTCAGTTGCGGCCTGAGTGTAAAGAGTTAGGATAGCAGTCAGAAGCGACACCAGTGCTGACCCAGCTCAGGCTCGCAGGCGTTATCTGGCCAAATATAGAGATATTGTCGAGCTTTGCAGCGTACGCAGCGTCATTCAGTTGGAAATTATCGGCCGCGCTGAGCGATCGCGTCTCAATGAATACGTCAAAATCCCTTCGATGAAGGACGTACGTTCCAAAGTATAATTTTCCTCCCCGCGATCTCGCGATATCGTTGGCTCCCGCGGTGGACGTAGCCGTCTTCAATTACCTAGCGTCAGGAGGGATCACAAGAGGAAAGGAAGAGACCGACGGGAAAACAGGTCGAGAAGAATGGATTGTCAAAATAACACACAGAGCCAGTCGCACACGTCTGGAGGTTGCATGTCAGGGAGATTTCGCAAGTTCGAGAGGTCTGTACCGTAGGCCCGGTGAATCCTTGTCCACCACCTGATCACGAGCCATGAAACTTCGCTTCTCGGGGAAATGGGAAAATAAATCTTACATTGGCCCCAGATAGGCGCTTGGCCCATCGCCGCCGGTAACAAGGCGAGGAAGGCTGCCAAAGGCACAGATATACACAGCATTGGAGACTTGGGTACGTGTCCCGAATCATGCACATATTGTCTTCTTACTTATATGGGCTGGACAATTTCACCGGTGTTTTGCCTTACGGAACACACATACATCAGTCATCTTTGTTGTGATTGAATGAATTAGCCGTTTTACGCACCCGCGAGGTATAACTTCGCTGACATAGAACGGATCCGATTCAAAGGCCAAGCCTAATGACACATCCCGTCGGATGAGATGTTGCCCATAACCGGGGCGATGACTGGTCTTGACTGGTATCCGGGACTAGTACTAGAGATAGAAGGCCCTTCTCCCGTACCTGTTCCTGGTTTCATATAGCGCTCAAGAAAGCCCAAGACTTTTTTGACAGAGCTGCAGTATTCAGCGCTGGCATAGAAGCGCCCAAAAGGCGCAGAAATGCGGAATAGTCTAGCCTCGGTGACAGTCGGGACAACCCAGAGAGCCATCAGCGAGAGAGGAGAGAAAAGACAGATGGCGAGGAGATAATTAAAATCGACTGCTTTTAAGTTATCCGAGCAGAGGCACAAATTTTCAGCGTGAAATCGTGGTTTAACTCGCCCCGCGCCAAGAAACAACGGCCCAGCTTCGGTGGATGGAGTTTCGCCGAGCGGCGGACGCGAGGAGGGGAGGGATTGTGAGGAGGATTGGAAATAGACGGAGCATCATGAAGCGATGCGACTGGCCGCATATCCAGGCGGCTTACTCTCACGAAGGACGGAAAAGATGGGAAGACGGCGAGCAGCAGCTCGCGAAAGACGAGGATGGGTGCACGGTCGCGGAAGAGGTTGTGATCGGCCGTTGAGCGCCGAAGGCCTTCAGACCAGACAAACCTCAAACCCCTTCTTGTTTTCGTCCTTCATGCCAGGAAACTGATTGCTGTGGGGCTGAGGTTTTCATAACTTTAAGTACACCGTCTGCGTCTCTTGTTGGATTTATTGAGGCACAAAAGGCATCGGCCTCGGTTTCGTATCGGATTTGCTCGGTCAGACGTCAATTTCCCTACATACCGGCAAAAGTGAATATTCAATGCGGCTGAACATGTTGCTGAAACTGATGGTTTCAGTTGCAAACTAAATGGGACTGGAAATGCGGTTGAAAACAACAATTTTGGTAAAAGTGAATGAGTTGCCGAGATAATGAGATTCAGTAGCATTTTCTGCCATGCCAAATGTAACAGTTTAGGCTGCAAAATGTCAGAAAGTGAGGCCTAAAATTATCACATCATCCATGTACGCTTCCCTGCTCTGCAGCATCTTGCCGTTTTATTGAAGACATGAAACCAAACTTCCCCCTTTTCTCTTCGTAGTTTGACCTCAATTCGAACGAGGATGATCTGCGTCGAATTGGAGGATCAAGGTTTATAGACTGCAAGTACAGTAGTACTCCCGAGTACTATAGGACCTTGTCCTCCTGGTTTGCGCTGTAAATGCGTGACTTTTCTATGAGGTTGAACCATGCTCGTGCTGAAAAATTAACATGATCGAAGTGTCTGTGTCGCAAAAGTCCGATTTGAGTTATAGGCAGGCACAACTCACTATAAGGCCGTATAACTCTGTAAGATTTCAAGGGGGTCTATAAGGCTCGAAAATCGACTATATTTATCTGTAAGTACTTACGGAACTTACAAGACTTATAAGCTCTTAAAGGCGGTTATTGAAGCTTATAAGCAATTCCCGTGGAGCTGGGAAAAAACCTTTTACCCTCTCTCACTAGAGAGAGCTTACCGCCACCTTAACGATGCTACCATAGTACTAGTGGTCATTTTATACTGGTACTACTAACTAACCATCTGAACTAGTATATTGAAGTAAGGTTGAAACTGTAAAGTTATTTACATGGTTCACGCTGGAAGGACACCAGTTGAATTATGTACCTTGCTCGAGCCACCGGGTTCAAAGCTCATGCATGCTCTGCTGAGTTAGTTCTCGGAGTCACTTGAAAATTGTTTTCTGCAGATAATGACTTACATATGATGCAGAATGCAGGGTGGAGAGGCCAATTGAGAAAATGATAAGTCTTGACGGAGAGGGGCCTGACTGAGCCTGACCAGCCCTGATTCTACCTGATATGTTGCACTGCTGAGCCTGAGGCCTGAGGCCTCATCAAAGCGAATTGGGGTTTTTCCAACGTTGGGTTTTTCTGACACAATCTTTGAGAGGCGGGTTCAGCTCTTGGATATCATATAACACTACTGGAAGGCGGGGAGAGTTATAAGCAGTTACAAGTACTTATAGCCCATCTGTAAACTAGTTGTAAGTTGATTATAGGACGCCTATAACTCTGTAAGCCCTCCCAAGCCCTTATAACCCAAAAGGGACTTTTGCGACATGAGTTCATGCCGTGAATAGATGGTTTTTTGTTTGAGGTTCAACGATGTCTTGTTAGATTCCGTCAGAGCTCAAACTGAAAATTCTCAAATCAAGGCATAGAAAATCCTGCTTGACTTCGAGTTCAGAGCACACAGTACTTATAGATGCATGTATGTCGAGCCAAAGAATCTTGTTAATCGATTTTTGATTATACCTAAAAGAAAAATGGAGCACGGTCTGACCTCTCTTCTGACGAGGACTCTCTACTTTGAATCATTGTCAACCCCACATACACGAATTTCAGATGCACACGAAAGTGCTACCAGACCTGGCTCACCTTTCCAAAACTGTGATTAGGCTAGATCCTTCCAGTATTTCAGACATGCTGACGCTGGAACACCATCGACCCATTGCCATCGACATTTACAGAACCTATAAATCATCATAAAACCTTTGACTAAGGCCCTGATCGGGCGCAGCGCTTGGTAAAGCGCCTGACGCTCCGCTTCAACCGTCACATCAGTCACCCAGCCCGGAACTATTCCGAACTATTCCGAATTATCTATCAAAGCCATCAAACATCGCAGAAACCTCTCCGCTCATCGTCGCTCACCGCCCAAGTTACCGCCCTCCCTCATATCTCAACGGCAAGTTAGCGCGCCTCAATTAGAACAATCCTATGCAATCATAAGCATTTCTTATCTACAAAATTAAATTTTCAGTGCATTCTGCACCGTGTTATAGAGGGCGTCGGGGAAGGCGGGAGGGAGGGCGGGACGGCGGGAATGAGCTGCTGAGAATGGGGGAAGATGTCTTGATCGATAGCTGATGGTTGCGATGTGTCCGAGCCGACGCAGCCGAGTCACGCTGTTGAGAAAGCCTACCGAACACAGCCCCGCCGGGCGTACGCTTCGTTTTTGGCAGAGGCGCTTGGCCGGAGCGCTGCGCCCGATCAGGGCCTAATGCCAGTAACCTGCGACGTCCCAATGAATTTCCGAAAAACCTCGAAAAAAGCCAGACAGCGACGCATAGTCTGACCTCGAGTCGAACAAGGGCGTAGCATCCAAGCAAATGGCCATCGCACAGCGGGTCGGGGTGTGCGTGCGAGCGTCGGGGGACGGAAGATGGATAGCGAATAGCGCACTTCCCGCCCCACGCTCGCACTCGTACGCGTACAATTGGCGCGCCCTTCGTCCCTCCTCCCATTTTGCCATTTCTCATTCGTTTACCCGGCTGTCGGGTTCGGATTTCATACCAGCCCCTATCGTTCAGTCCAACATTTGCTCATTGTATCGTTCAACTCGTTATGTAGCCACCATGTGTGCTGAGATCTACACTTGCCAGGTAAAACGCATACGTGAGCTCTTTTGCGTGCCTTCCTGTCGAAGAAACGAACCTTGAAAAATTTTTGGTGCCTTTGAATCTTTCAAAGACCATTGTTGATATTAGATGGGAAGGCTTGATGTGAATCCTCACAAAAATTTCGGTGATATCGAGGCCAGCGGTGTTGAAGAACCACTCGCTCGCGCCTTCTGCGAATCAGATGTGTCCAAGCAAGTACCAAGACATTCCAAAGACTCGGTGGCGGGTGGTCCGCGTCCATGCTTGTTGAACGATGTCGTTCGTTACGTTGCATGTGGAAGCCGCCTGTTCGATTCAGGCCCGAGTTATGGAATATCTACCTCCTGATGTATTTTTTCTGCTCTACTGACTCACATTCTTCTTCCCTCCTATGTGCTCTGATTTTCGTGGGTAGAACTTTCACAGCCGGCAAATTGAACACACGGCTCCAGTTACTCGGCCTCGGAGTCAGGCCCACGTAATGCTAAAGGATCTTCTGAGTCCTTCTCAAGTTCAACTTGGTTTCCACTGTAACCCGAAGCCCAGCTCTCAAAAGACCCGGTGACGATTGGCCCGCATCCATGCAACTCAAACAAAACGTCCATGCTCATGGCACTCGCCTGTTCAAATTAGGTCCGAGTAGTAGATGCTCCTTGTCTTTTTACTTACGTTACCCCGCGGCCCGCGGTATTCTTCTTCCCATGGGCGCTGGTGTTCGTGCTCAGAATTTTCGACCCTTTGGCAGCAACCACAGCAGCCTCACCGACTCGAGTCCGGCAGTTTCTTATTAAATTTGAAGTCCCACCATCCGCCAATTAGCAGCCCCCGAGAAATGGTATTTCAGAGCTCTATAGAGCTACTTATATTAGCAATAATACATCTCAAGATGCATGCATATTGTCCAAAGCCCCATGTAAAATTTCAGGCCTCCAGGTGCTCTGTGTATCTCACAGTGCATCGAAATGATGTGAGCTTCGAGGCAATTTTGATCCAAATTTATGTAGTGACTGTACATTCATTGCAATGTAGGCAGTGGTTATAAGCCGCAGTATTGCAATGTGGTGCAATGCCTACTGGCCAGTGAGCTATACCTGCAGTGCAATGTGTCACGGAAGTGGCTGCACCTTCCCAATTGGGTATCACCAGGCGATTTTTTTTTTCTTGCTCCCAAGACCGAGGAAATTGCCCTTTAATTCTGGTGTCCTTTTAAGGACCTCCCAATTATAAAAACATTTCTGTCCAGGCTACAACGGTAGTGGGAGTCCCTAGACACCCCCGGGAACTCAATACATGTTCTACAGAGGCTTCAATGCGTCTAAACATGTTTTAAACATGGTTTTAGCTTACTTTAAAATCTACTATGAAAAGACTTTTAGGCCCTTGGTCGGGACCTTCCGCCCCCCTACCCCCTATCCGAAATTCGAATCCTAACAGCCCCTCGCAGCCATACAATTTTTGTGGCGTTGCAGTACACTTTTGACTTTGGATCGTTCACATTGAAATTCGAAGCAGAATTCCTTGTGGAGTCATGAGCTTATATCATCGTGAGAAATCATATGAGAAGCCAAAAACCTTCCGCTGGAGGAGGAGGAGGTATATTATACTGACGCGGTCCCACAATTGGATCTTTTGTCTGGGCCCTCCTCCAAAACGAATCGGGTCAAGAGGGCGATCGGCTGACAGAGTGAATGTGACCGAAACACGCTCCCGTTCCCAAAGCGATGGAGAGGTAGCATGGTCGTTAACATTGACCGTGCCCGCCACGCGTAATTGCAATACCATAAATAGTGCAACCAATATGGCGGAGACATGGCCATAGACTTGCTCGTGGGATAAAAGATCCCGGCCCCGTATTATCAAGAGGCTACTAGCACTTCCAACATGCCCTAGACAGGCGGACCAGCAGGTCGTACTTGTAGCATGCCTGAAACAGGCGGGCCCGAGGGCCCAACATTTTAACATGCCCAAAATAGGCGGACCAGGTGGCCTCATAATTTTCATGCCTGAAACAGGCCGACCAATCGGTCCAACGAACAGCTCGGTACGACGCGGACAAAACCGCCTGGCAGACTGTGTCCTAAAAAGAAGAAAAATAGACAATAATCAAATTAGCGAGGACGGTACAGCTACGAGGATGGTTATGATAGACAGCACCTCGGACGGCCAGAAAATTCAGTGCAGTCGGGTCCGTCCCGGAAGACTAACAGTTTTGCTAGGCATATGTGTCAGAGGAGCAAGAGAAGAATTATAATAGCCCCAAGGTTACCGAGACCAGTTTTCTGCGAGGAGACACATAGAGCTATCCGAGCATAGAGCATTATAACACGGCATAGGTTTTTGCGCGGTAGGGTGGAGAGAAACAGCAGTGTGGTGATGGTTGGAGGCAAGAAAGACAGTAGCAAAACTCGATGTTTCTAGTACGACCAACAGTGGAGAAATTTCGGCATTCTTTGGGATCTCATTGGCTTTGCCCACAGTCATTTTCACAGCTTGATAATGTTCCAATTTCAGGTTTATGCATCAGTGTGTGTTCTCGAGCCAGCTGCTCTGCGCATGCAGGCTACATGGCCCACTTTCCCCACATACACCATGCGGCGGGAACGAATGAAGGGCAAGAGCTCTTGGATGTGTCGGTGAAGGTGAGAGCAAAAGTACATCAACGTTGCAGCACCCGGAGCGGTTTCGACGTCAGCAAGAGGCACTACCCGCACTGGATCCAACCTTAGCAAAAAAGGCGCGCACTCCACGGCCATTTGTCCGTCCCATTAAGCTCAATCACACCCCACCCTTCGATAACGTCGCTGTACGCACGCCACATCCAGCCGATGTTCTTGGCTTTGAAGTAGTCCTCGCAATGGCGGTCAAGCAAGTTCCAGTACGCCTCTTCTGATGCCACGCTGGCCACGACGGCGGGGCTGTTGGGTGCAAACTCGTCCTCGTTGCTTGGCCAGCCCGTCTGAAAATAATTCAGCTCCCAAGGACAGACCAAGTGGTTCTCCGAAAGAGAAGTGGAAAACTCACCTGCGTGATGAGCAGTGGCCGGCCGTTCACCAGAGTCTCAAAGTACTCCATGTCCGTGAGGAGGTTCTGCCACGAGGAATTGGACCCGCCCGCCTGCGCGTTTTGCGCAAAGTACGGGAACTCGTTGATCATGAAGAAGTCGACCGAGTCTGCAACTGCGGTGATGTTCCCCGATATCTGCCAGCCGTACGCCAGCTCGGAGATAGAGATGGGGATGTCGAGGCCCGCTGCGGTGAAATTCGATCGCATGTTGTTAATGTAATACGCGAGGGCCTTTCAATCAAATAATCACAGGTCAAGGGGAGAAGGACGGCGCAGATGGTGAGATGCATACGTCGGGGCTTCCAGCGTCATCGTCATATAGTGGCTAAGTGACCGTACCGGTAAGATGATTTCAAAGCACTACTTATATGGCGCAGACTCACTTCGTCGCCTAAGTATCAATCGATGAACGACGATGCGGATGGCTAGTTAGGAGGGGAGTACTCACCGACAGCTACGGCTAACACAGGCCCTGGGTTGCGTATGACGGCCTCGGTGACGGCAAGTATCCTAGGGACTGACTTTATGAGAAACGTGTCTAGAGAGTAAAGCCCATTTAGTATTCAGAGGGCTCAGCCGATCCTCGAAGGAATCTCGAACCGTTAGCAGTATAGTTCTGATTGATGACGTGGATAGGCAGGGTCCAGGCTAGAGGAATAATGAAGATTCCGGCCCTCTCCGCAGCGAGGATGATGTCTGAGCAGCAGTCAGCACATGAGCGCCGAACCAGACTAGCATCGAGGACGAACCGTCATAATACGACGCATCAGCGCCTGTCCCGCAGAAGTCGAACGTGATGACCGTCCTAGCGCCCCCCGACTTCATATGCGTGAAGTCGGCGGCCATCTCGTCCGTGGTCTTGCATGGCTACAGAGACAGAGATCGCACAACGTTGAATTAGCAGGGAACTTGAAGAAAAAGGTGAATCGGCACCTCTATGTCATAGACGAAGCCTTCCCAGGCGTACATCGAACGAATCTGGTTCAGACGGCTCCCGTTGGGGTATACATACGCCGCAGACACCAAGCGAGTGAGGAGAAGGCACCAGCCGAGAAATGAAGTGGGAGACATCGATAAGCAGAGTGCGGGATGATGGGAAGAGGAGCGTTTTCAAGTAGTCAGCGGACCATGGAACGAGTCGAAGCGCGACACGAGACAAGTCCGGTGATCCTTCTTCCATGTAAAGAACCTCCAGGCGCGGAATCCGGCAGAAGAAATAAATTAGCAACTGAAGGATGGAGGCACATAAACCTTCTTGAAACAGTAGAAACATCATCATAGGATTGGTGAAGGCAAGACGAAGAGTGACTCGGTGACTCATGGTGTTGATCCCAACAATGATGGCGCTGATACCACCACTGGGCGCATCAATTAATTTATTGACCGATGTCTAATGGTGGAGAGAACTCTTTTTTCAGTCACCTGACTTCGTGGAGCTTGGCTCGTGGAATTGTGACGCGCAGGAAGGAGAGCTCTTGACTAATGGTTGGACCAGGTATTTCGGTTCGGATCCGGATAACCTCTCTTACTGTACCATTTCAACCATAAGTTCAGCCTATGTGACATGTGACCACTGAAGTTCACCGTTTGCTAAGTTCAGATGGGCTTGGGAGTGTGACATTTTTGTTCTTGATTCAACTTTTTTTGGGTTCTATTTTTCAAACACAGACTGATACGACAACTGTCCTTACACCTTTTCTCGGTTCCCCATTTTTTGGCTCAGAAACATCCAATAATTCAATAAACTATTCCTACACCAGATCAGGGTTGCAAGTTGAAGAGAAGTGGAGAAATTAACTGCGCTTTCTATACTACAATTGAATCATTTGCCAAAACCTTGCTAAAATATATGCAGGAGAGTCAAGGGAAAAAATTGAATCTCAACACCCTGCAGGACCCCAAATGTCACTTGGTTCAATCCACCTGGTGACCTGTGACAGAAATGAAATAGGTTCAGTTCACTGAGCTGGTGACGTGTGACCTGAACTTACGGTTGAAATAGTACAGTAATCATCCTTTCCCCGCCCCCAAGACACGGCTCTCACCAGTCATGCGATCTTGAACTAGTTTTCAGGCACGAGCCAAGTTCGTTGCTTCCATATTCAACAATTTCTCACCAACAGTCTACATGGATTACATCTCATTTGAGTTCTAATGTTTACCTAACTTGTATAACACTCACGAAGCTGAGGGGTATTTGTTCGTTTGTACAGTTGAGGATCTTCAAACCGGGGTGAATTCATTCCAGTGGCCAGACTGTCTTGTC